AACTATGGCCCCAGTCAGTCTAGCGAGTTGTCTTCATCTCAATGACAGAAAGATCAAGATTTGATCATGGTGTTTCAGTTCCACATTTCATCTCGCAAGACAAAATCAACTTGAACCGGAGCACTTAGAAGAACCTCGCCAACCTCCAAAAAGACTCAGACGTTCAACCTTTTGTGTAGGAATTTGAACATTACTGGGCAAATCAAATGAGAACTGAGCCTCATTGGTGTGATTTGTTTGAACTTATCCAGGGCCCGATGAAAAAGAAAGCACGCCTAAAAAGACCTGTCCAGTTTTTGTGCACGGATGTCATTGTAACCCACGGACTCCATCTTCAGATGTTGGACAGTCATTGTCTCAGAATCATAGCTCGTGTGGGTTGGTGTCGGCGAATCCGTAACGAGGCAGTTAGAAAGCGCGTTTTCGGTTGTGCAACGGGTACTTCCATTGAAGAAGCTACGTTGGTTGAGACATGTGTTGCGTATGCCAAACCATCGTTTGCCGAAGAGAGTGCTGTTTCCCATGCCCAAACCAGAGTGGCGTAAGCAGAGAGGTGGCACACCCTTGACTTGGCAGAAGTGTATGAAGGATATCACGAAATGCTTGGGTGCTGTCGGTGCTACTCGCCTTCCAGGATAGGGGCCGCGTGATCCTCACAGTGCTTGGTTGAAGATATTACAAGATATGGCTGCCAACCGATGTCAGTGGCGTTCTTGTTNTGATGATGATGATAATGATGATGATGATTCGGATGATGATGATGATTCGGATGATGATGATGATGATCATGATGAGTATGATGATGATGACGGTGATGATTATTAGAACTCTTGAAAGAGGAAGGAAAGCCTTCGATTATCTAGTGAGGTCATTCAAAACCCCTACCCACTTCACAGTGGACCTCAAACACGACCTCGTGCAATTGAAACGAAATCCCTCGACCGACTCCAATAGTGATTTAGCTTGAGTTAGTTGATTGGTCCTCCTTCCGGCTTAAATCTTGACCGACCTCGTAACCTAGTCACTTGGCCTGACGAAGCTTTAGTGTCAAAAGCGAAACGTTGCCCTGTAGCAAATCTACCGGTTGTTACTAGGTTTATGCGAAAAAGAGACAGTGTATGTTCTTCGACGCAGTATGCAGATAATGTTAATAAGCGTACATCGAAGGTTTGATTAGTGCTCACTCATGAAACCATGCACAGCTAAGGGGGCCACAGAATAGTAGTTTGGTTAGCCACTCTTGTTCTGTGCAAGCAAACTTCGAAAGGTGACCTGGAGGAGTATTCAGAGTGTTGCCAAAAAAAGAAGTCAGTCAGCGTTGCACGATTCACAAGGTTGCTAAAAACTCTTCAACAGCCCACGACCGGTTATGCCGTTCTTGGAGCTCATCAGGTAGGTGTGGTCCCTGAGTTTCGATCAACCTTCGGTTCTCCTCGAATACAAATTGTAGGAAATATGGCTTATACGCTCGTATGCACAGCGATTTGGTTTTGACGGAAGACTCACCTAGAACTCAGCTTAAGAACGAGAGATTCAGCTCTGACTTGTTAAAGGAAAAGTGCGGGAAGTCTGACTAAACGGCATTCGTGCGTACCACCATGAAGAATGACCAGAAACCGACGATAGCGACGACTGCGTCTTACTGTCAAGCAAACTGTCGTGTACCTGAACCTGTCGTTTCAAGAACCACCAAAGCCCATCTCTACATTTCCACCTTTGGGCGTTTGGGAGATAGTATTGTCTGGTCCGGTGTAGAAGTCACATTAAGGACACATCAGAGGAAATGACATATCTCGGTTGTCATTCAAGTAGGCAGAGACGTAGTGAGCCAACAGCAAATTTCTAATTCCTAAGTGTGATAGACAACAGACATCCTCGGTAGCTCGGTCGGCGGAGCATTCTTCCGAGGACATATTCCAAAGGTGTGTAACTGAACTCCTCATTCAACCTGTTGAAACCGTGGAGGAGCAGACGACTGGGAATCTGTGTATGAGAGCGCCGGACTCTTCCGATTCTCGTTACCACGTTTGGAATAGAAGCGTGGAACATTCACCGTTGTTTCCAGCGACTAGAACGAATCTGATCGACGTCCACCAGTAGTTGTACCTTTGTGCATACACAAGGAGGGTGGAATGCGATGTCGGCATGGTTGAAATTATAGCTGAATGGTTGATTCTACATCCATTTATTGTATTTTTTGCTCCCGTCTAGGTATTTACACACGCCGCAGTTTGCAAAAGTCGATAGCAAAAGCACAGATCCCGGCACTCGACTTTGAAAGGCTGACTATCGAAAACGATGTTTTTCTAATCGATGAAACCATATCTCTCTTTTATTTTTTGTGTACCCTCTACATTCAAGAAGAAAACGCACCGAAGAACCGCGTACATTCAGTGAAGAGAACATTAATCAGATGTTCTGTGTTTCACCCAGTAACCTTGATTCAACCTCCACTCAAGTTGCATGAAAACGCAGTTAAAATGGGCTTGAATGACGAATGTTGGGGACAAATTTTGCCTGTGTGCATGGTAGCACTGTCGGTTTCCCACCCAAAGCGATATGCACCCTTCGTTTCGTGAATACGTGGTGCAATCTCACTTACTTTTCGTTCCAAGACTTGCCTAAATTTCACAGCAGTTAGTGAACCAAACAGTTGTGTGGTTCGAAGTCCTCAGATGCATTCCGTCGTGAATCGTATCACACAGCAGCGCGCCAGATACCAACAGATTATATTCAGGTGGTGTGTGTGTCTCTAGTTTAACTTGAAAACCTGATTATCAGCTCTGGACCGTCGGCCAAAAACGTGGCCCCTACGCGCCGAGGATCTCCAAAGGCTTTCAGTGTTTGACCATCAATGTCTTCGGAGCATTGCCCGAGTCTGGTTAGAATATCGGATCAGTAATGCTGAAATACGTCGAATGGTATTATGAAGAAACTAGTCACCCATGATAGATGAACTGATCACACTGTATAGGTTACGCTGGCATGGTCACGTGCCCGGTATGCCAGTCGACCGACTTACACAACCACATGAAGGGTGGAAACGAGCCAGAGGCGGTCAAACAATAACTTGACAGCGAAGTATGAAAGCCAGTACCAGGGAGCTCAGCTGCGCTGGTTACTGGCGTATTCCTAGATGGGGACCCCGAGACGAGCCATATCACTGGTTAGAGACATTGTCAGACATGGCCCAGTCGCGCCTTCAGTGGCGTTCATGAATCTAAGCTATTGCCTTCAATGCATAGCGCTCTTTCCAATCCCCGCACTTAACAGTCCACTAACAGTACTGTTTTTGCGCGCCAGTTTATCAGCTTCCGCCTCCGGTGCGCAGCTACCTACCCCACTTCCCCGAGTCATCGGTGAACGAAACTGTGGCAGCTACGACCACTGTACGACCAGTACGCGGCACTTACAGATGATAGTCATGATGATGATGGCGATGCTGAGGACTGCAAAGAATAACAGTAAGGAAAGACGGTCTGCGGGGCAGAATGACATCTTGGAAGCTTTTTCAATGAATAAACAAATGCACAAACCAATATTAGGAACCAAATTTTGATGTACAGCCCAGTCGTACTCGTGGACCAGGGTAGATCCAACGCCTAAATCGGGTCCTCGTTCTTGAACCAGGGCTTGGTCTAAATCGCGTGGCGCCGTCAATCCTTTAAGGAAGGTCTCTCATTTGTGCGGATAACCCCGACGCAATGTTGATATGATGGCCAAAATAGGTAGACGAAGAAGAATTCCGTCCAAAATGTTGTAGAACTAATTCGGAATGTCCGAAATGTACCCTCGCAATTGATGCCAAGCTCCAATTCTACTCGGACAGACTTCACTGCAACGTTAGTCTAATGAGTAACTCTTCGAGATCACTTCTGTGGGTGTTTGGATTGGCGGTGGCGGTTTTCAATGAAAATGTGGCTGCACGGCTGCATTCACGAGTTTCCTCAATCCGCTGAAAAAACCTTCCATCCTCTTGCATAGCAGGGGAAAGAAAAACCGCTTATTCTTTGCGACAAATCTCACCTCAGATCGAAAACAAGTTTTCCAGGGTTGCACTATGAACAGCTCTCTCCTTGTTCACGGAGATGGCAAGTACCAAACAGACTGTCTGTAAGAGCATCGCTGCTAAGTCCCCGAGGAAGGAACTTGTGACCGAAACTGCACGCAAGAGTGCACTTGTTGCCGGCGGTGTGTAATGAAACCCCATCTCTGTAGGCTTTGAACTGTAGGACCTTGTGATACTTGCCGTTACCAGAAGTCTACCGAGGTGCTCATCGGCAAACTGTCATTTCAAAGCCCGGCAGTGTCTACGGCACTCTACTGCCGGGTAAAATGTTTGTATTGTACTGGACGGACACCGTCTACACAGTTTCACAATAACCTGGTTGTCTGGTTACCAAGACGTCAAAGAAGACGCCATTCATCAGCAAAATTGATGTTTAACGGAGCGACAGAGCAGTTCTTCGTTTTGACAGCACCAGAGAGGGCGATGGCAATATTTCATTTAACGGCTGACGCAATCAAGCAGTATTTATCGACCCCTCAGGTTAAATCGATCTCGTCTTGCACGATGAAGTGTCAGCTGTTACGCATACACCAGTCTTGTAGAAGAATATCCGCTCACAATGACGTCATTCGATGTAATAGCCATTATCCGCGCGTGCACTCAACGTGGAAGTACAAGTTAGCTGCACAGTCAAACGCAACTTGATGGGAAGGTCTTGAATGGATTGAGGTGCGTTTGAAACCCCATCGGAGACTTTGGGAGGCCTACTACCTTAGAGAGTAAGCTTATCGATATTGGACCAATGAGTGGGGGGACATGAGAGCTCCTTTCAATGGCAGTACCGGAATAATTACGTGAGACTCGGCGGAAAATGGCTAAACTTAAACCATTCTACCTGATAATGGACAAGCTGGAAAAAGGCGTTTAGCCCATAGTTGGGCTCAATGGCGTTCACTGATTGGAAAAATTCAATGAACTGGGTTGCACTTACGTGCGCGGACTGTTGTTCGGCGTCCACGAACGAAATCGGTGGCTGGTCTCGGCGGACGCAGCTCGAATGTGAGCGTTGGGCAGACCGGGAACAGCAGGTCGAAGCAAATGCCGCTGGAAATAATCCGCCTGCGGAAGTAAAAATGATAGTTCAAGGAAGCACAGGAGGTTAGCGATTGAGAACTAAGTACAACATACCGCTTAAGCAGTTTGTTTCAGAGTAAGTTCCAGGATGAAAAAATGCAGTAGTGTTTAGACTACACATAATGGCACAGTGACCATTTTCTTCACAGACAGAATAGAAACAAACTATTTGTATCCGGAGTTCGAACCCATGCGTCGTGAATCAAATGCACGCTTCAAAACCATCTGGCCTGGGCTAGTTCCTCCGATCCATCGTTCTCACCAGTTCTGAGTGGTGCTTCAAAAATGGGGACGGCTACAGAATGGAAGCCATTGTAGAGCCTCATCCGAATTTTGATTCATGAAGCTGTACAACAGACCTTACTACATACTGACAAACACTAATAAGTGTTTATTGGTCATTCTTACGTAAAGTGGGATAGATCGACAAGCAGATGGTTCTAAGACAACTGTCTCGTCAGCAAGCGGTTAGGGTTAGCCACTAACTGAAGATAACACACTAGTCATAAGGTTG